TCAGAACAGACGGCTCTTTCAGTGTTGTCATGCCTATCTGTCTTGGAAATCGTCCAAAAGCACGGAGAATTCAATCCAATCGCGTGGAGGACAACCTATCGACTTGATGCCAAGTCGATCAAACATGGTGGCACTTGTCATAATGGAAATTGGGATCAATGGTAGCGTTATGCAAGACACAAGGGAACCGAAAAGTATGCCGAAAACATGGATTGATAGATTATCAAAATACATTATCAAAAAGACAGGTTTTCTTCCCTTATTCCGAGCTGTAGTACAGGAATCGACATATGGAATTGATGAATGTGTCCGAAATGCCCAGAAATACTCACGGTTAATTCGTAGATCGTAGTTCAATTTGACAAAAGCATCACCGAATAACATCGACATGGAAAATGTGCAGCTTTTGTTCGAATGTCTCAATACCGAAAGTGTCTTACATTAAACCCGGAGGGTTTTACGATTTGAAGATGTTGAATACATAACTTTATAAACCAAAAGTTCGAACGCGGTTTGCTTTATCAGCAACATCTGCTTCCTGAGTTGTAGTCGTTCAGTGATTTGTCAACCATCAAGTTGGCAGCACGCAGAATGGTGACATATATTGCTTATTGTTTGAGAAACCCCATATTCACTACGGGAACTAGAACGGTCTATCAAAGTAAAACCGATCAGGAGAATTCGTTCAAAGCCGGACATTATACACACCATCAGTATGACCATACCATAATTTACACTACAAACATGTCGCGTGACGGGATACCTGGGATATCCATAACTAGGTGCTAGTTGCTCCTCTTCAGAAGCATTATGCAAATGGATACCTGCACGGATCTGAAGCCGTCTTCAAGCATTCAGCCATTGCGGTATTACGAGATCATTAATTTCAGTTGAACTGTCACTGGTTATCGTTTAATAATAGTAACCATCCAACGACGGTGTGTGCACTGTGATACTAGAAAGCTGCGAAAAACGTTGTCACCCGCCCGCATTAGTCTCTTATTTCAAAGCTCTGGACCGGTCGGTTATAACTGTGTAGCATGACATGATCGTATAACCAGAACGGTTTGAAAATAGTTCCCAAGTACGAATGAAACTCTTTTATTCAGTTGTTCCTCCATGTTTAGAAATAATTATCTTCGTTACGTCGTTTTAATTAAAATACCTCGACAGGACAAAATTGAAGCAACACTATTTCAAACTCTTTAAGACAAACAATTAAGATACACTGTGATATACAACACAATTCGTGATTGTATACATTCCTATGCAGAGAAATAAAACGTTTTATTTTGAGATACATTTACGTTTCGAACGAATTGCAATTTGGATACATTCTGAATTGCACGGATAAAATAATTCCAGCAAGTTCCGTGGTTTCAGAAGATGGTTGATCATCCTAATCCAAGTGCTCATTTTTAAAAGCTAAACCCTCATATATGAGCCATTCAGTTTATGAACTGCTCAGGGTGACATTATCGGTTGCGCTGGTAGACTCGAATGAGTACCTTGAGTCAAAGGTATTGCTACTTCGTTGGCACCATCGTGACAAGTAAACCCGAGATTCTTCACCGGGATTCTTGAACCTGTGTGGGGATGTAGACTAGCGCACGATCAGTCAAAACCAATATTTATGAAACTGTGACAAGCCTCGGTACATCCGTTTCACCTCTTTGGAAAACATAACACAGTTTAGTGTTCCAAGTTTGACCGTTGTGCATGCTGTGTTCCAGTGGATAAATAATTAATTTTTGTGTCACATATTGAATTTAATTATTGAATCAAGTTTTCTTTCATCGCATCAAGGAATATGTGTTTCCCGGAACCCTTGAATAAATTGAATCCTTATGTTTTATCAGTTCAGTTGTCAGGTTACAATAGACAGAAGCATGCAGACCGTTTAGGTCAGGCTTCCCCAGAAAATACCCTGCAGACTAGCGAGCGACTTTGCGGAACAGAAAACTTGAGAAAATGTCTATCCCCGTTATTTACTCGTCAAACGTACGATACGTATTTGGAAAAATGAGCGACTTCATGAAAATGATGGGGACGAAAATGTGCCACGCATTGGGGATAATTATGCTTCAAGGAACGTGATTGCATCCTGACATCAACGACTCTTTGGTTGAGCTGGATTTCTTTGATAGGCAGCGGTCGGATATAAAGTGTTTACTGCGAAAGCGAGGCGGTGCTCTAATAGCCTACATCAAATCGTCTTGTTGTTAGTCTACAAGATTATCTTCACATATAACGTAGGATATATATCATGTTATTGGGTTGAATGTAAACCCGTATCCTTGGTAAATATCCTTCCATCATGGCACCAAATATCCCCATAGCTACTTCCAGTACAATGTGAGATCTGCAGACATTTGCTGATGTATGTATATCCAAACTTACGAACTACACGAAACGCTCTCTTTTCATTGTTAGTGGTGATTTAAACCATGCGGATATTCATTTCGCCACCCGTATCTCTCCCTTTCGCCAAAATCTTGTGAACTGATCTACAAGATGGAAACACGCAGATGGACGTAATATTATCAAAAAATCCTGAACTATTTGTTGTGCGAAGTGGTAGCCTTCTACCAAAGTGCGATGCGTCGAAGAACAAAACATTGTCGACTGCTGGAGACATGTGCGCATCACACCGACCACAGAGGGGCCTGGAAATTGCGACTATTCCCCTATCCTTTTGTTCTTCTGAAAGTTTAAGAAACGTTTAAGCGTAGTAACATTATTCCCAATAGTGGACAGTTAGATGACAACCAATTCGCTTATCGCAAACAACGTTCAACCACAGATGTGAAGATACATTGACTAATATGGGGTACAGTGGGTGAGATGGGTCAAGTAGTATTCTGATAGAAAGTTTCTGGCAAGCCCTAAGGTCCTGTGAAGTAATAAACTGCACAAAATACTCAAGGGATATGCCAGTGTATCGACATGCGTGTTTGATGAATGTGCGTATGAGTTTGAAGTCTTTGATTAAAATACTCGGAACAATAACAGGGGATGCCAGTGGGGAAGGATACCGAATAAAAGAAAACGGTT